GATTTTATAGTCCTGCAATTGACAATATTCAATATTACTAAACTGAAAATGAAAAGTTCAAAACAATTGATATCAAACACCCCACGTTTTGTTTTCGGTGGAATTAATTTGATTGTCAATCACTTTAATCTTATTTTAGATTGGTTTTAAAAGTTTAATTAAATCAAGTTAGGGAACTTCCTATTCCTGTTTCTTAAAAACATAAATATCTAATAACACCGTCCGCAAAAACAAATTGCCAAAAATCAACGCGGTTTTTTAGCAACTGCAACTTTGTTATATTAAAAATGGATGGGCTATAAATCAGCATACTTCGAATTTTTCTGAAAAATTTGATCAGAAAGTCGGAAACTAGTTTGCAAATTTATTGAATTTTCCTGAGATTTGCACAAAGTTTAGAGATTTTGTTTTTATGTCTTGTGTTGTAGTATGAACTATATTATTATAAAAAGTTGGCGAAAATAAATTAGAATAAAAAACTTTGCATAGTTTGCGATAAATTCTCTATACCCATACTTTTGTCCGGCACTGTACGTGGAAAATTAAACAAGTTTCAAAACAAAAAAAAAAATATTACGTGGTTTAAAATTTACAAAGCTTATATTTTTAGATTGTATAGAAAAACCTAATCGTAATTTTTACCTATAAGGTTAGGTTATGTTTACAATTTTAAAAAACTAAAATCAGGCCGCCGTTTACTCCTAGGGGACCCGCACCAGGGAAAAAGCCTAGGGTCCCATAGATCCTAAATCCGGAACTGCTTGGATGATGGTCACTTCAATAGCATGAACGTATTTGTTTAGGTAACATCAAAAATTTGTTTTGGCGAAATTTAAACACTTAGCGAGATGTTTTCAATTTAAGAATAAATTCATAAAATATAGTTATTGGACTAAGTTAAAACATTTTTTGGGAAGAAAACACGAAATTTGACGATTATAATTATAATTTCTGCTAATGCACTAAATATATATTTATATACATACATACATCCCTATATACAGCTATGATCAGAGATTTAGCACCGAAATTCAAATAAACAGACGCCGAAACGCGTAGGAGGATTAAAGGAAAATTTCGTTTTGGTTTTTATTTCAACCGGCCGTAAAGCTACAAAATCAGCATAGGTACATACATATATATGAATATAAAAAATTCCAAAACATCAAAATGATATTGTTTGCAACTTATATTTCTTTATTAATATGCAATAATTTTCCTTTGAAATATAATTCAATCTATAACAGAAGCCACATAACTAAAAGTTTCAAAGCTTGCACAAATTCCACAAAAGTTAATCAAACTTCAAAAAATGTTCATCAAAAATTCAAACTTTTTAATCAGAATCTTTAGAAAATGTTCAGGTATGCAGTTTCGTAGCCTATTCAACTTTAATCTGATGAAGTGCAAGTCTAAAGTCCCCACAATTACCGTAGGTACAAATAGGGCCGTCGAGAGAAAACTCGGGGCCCGGACGAAAAAATCATGGGCCCTATGCATAAACTGTATTAATTTAAAAGCATGTGATAATTTTTTTTAATTTATAGATTCAGATACAACCAGTACGGATCGGAATATATTATAATATATAAAATACGCAAAGGGATTTTTTGTCCAGGGCAAAAGATCTCTACCGTTCGACCGATTTTCAAAAATGAAATGCCAAATTAAAGGCTTGGTCTATAGATATGCAAATTGGTTATATTTTTTCGAAAAGAGTTGCCACCTGTTGAACAATTTAACTCAAATTATTTAATAATCAATGCCATCATGTCTGCACTGTTCCTCCGGCCTTCCGAAATGAGGTGTCAAATGAAAAGGCTTGGACTGTAGATTTTAGTTTGAGAATACTTGTGAAAAGGAATTTCAAAAATGAGAGGTGAAATTAAAGACCTTAGCCTGTAGATGTGCGATAAAGTTTTATTTTTTTGAGTAAGAAGTTTTTTCATCGGTATAAGGTGATTTGAAATTTGAAGAAAATAAACACATGCACTATGCGGGACTGCTCTTCACTCAGAAACGGCTGCACAGTTTTGATGAAATATGCCACTCGTATCTCTTATAACTCTGACTAATATTTGGAATATTTTTTAAGTCTTTGAAATTTAATTTTGGGCGTTTAAACGCCATGCGGGCTCACTAGTTTATAATAAAAGACTATAACGAAGGGGCAATTACATTGTAAAAAAATTAAAAACATGTTATGGTTCTGATATATTGGGCCCTTTAAAAAGCCCGGGCCCGGGGGGATTCACCCCTTTCCCCCTCAGTCTCGACGGGCCTGCATACAACGAATAATCAAAATCAATTTTTACATGGAAACAAATGCGCAACACCCTACACCAAAAAAATTTTATTAGACTAAAATCAACTGGGCTAACAATTATGATTAAAAATTTTGTAATTTTGATGGAAATTTTTGAGTTTGATTAATTTTTATAATATTTGTGCAGGGTTTGAAACTTTTATTTACGTGGTTTCTTCTATAGCTTGAATTATATTTTAAACTAGCAAATATCCAGCGTTATTCTCAGCGCCTTAAAAGTGTTTTTGTTAATTTAACTTAAAACGATTTTTCAAACAGGTAGTACCCCTCTTCAAAAATATTTCAGATCGATACCCGTATTGCAATATTCAATTTATCTTATCAACTAAATTAAATTAAAATTTTCAAACAGGGTGCAACCTTCCGCAAAAATGTTTTCGTCTGTAAGTCTTCTTAAACCGCTTACTTTTAACAGCAATATGGGCATATTTTCTTTATCTTATCAATTTACTTAAACTGAAATTTTCAAACAGGTGTCAACTCTAAAAATTCATCGGTGAAAACTGTAAATACAGACAGACAGACAAAAAATCCTAAATTGTTGATTTGGCTTCTGTTGCTCTTATAAATAATATGGGGGATATTTATTTTTCTTTAATATCTACTATGTACAATTTTAATATGTACATACATATATGCATAGATGAAAATTATTAAAGATAAATAAATAAACATAATTGCAAAGAATATAATTTTGAATTTCGGTTCTAAATCAGTGACCAAGTATTTTCCCATTAAATTGAAAAAGTGCTTTTTTTATACCATTTTTACAAAAAGTGATTTCATTTTGTCCTCTTTCTGCAACATTCTCAAATACAACCTTTTGTAAGGGACTGTCAAAACTCGAACTCTCTAGTGAGCAAACTTTTAATAATTGAATCATGGTCTAAAGTAAGTACGTATGTATTTACATATGGTTATACATGCATACTTATGTACATGGGTACATACTTCCACACTACAGCAAAATGCTAAGTAGAAGAATCCTGTTTCGCAATTTGGCAAACTCCAAATTGATTTTAGACCCATCGTTTTTTTGGCAAATTGCTTAGATTTACATGTAGAATCCTCCTATGCTATACGCCTATAGTCGAAAAAATAGAGCCGACCTGGTATACATATCTATACATAAATATGCATACATATTTATACAGTATATACGTATGTATGTATGTATGGATGTATGTATATAGGCACAGTTTGACATTTTTATTATAATTAAGTTTCACTCAGCACTTGTAATATCACTTTCACGTTCGACTCAGTGAACTTTATCCACATTATTTTTATGTATTCATACATATGTAGTAGTGTATAATTTAAATTAAATTAAATAGTGCAGATACTTATATATTGATATCGTGGATTTATTTATGTATATATTTACATATATCTGCCGTCGGCAAGAAGAATACGAATTAATGAACACCTGCATTAAATAGTACATATGTGCATACATTTATACATATTATATATATACATACATATGTATTTCCAAATTATTGCCGTCAACTTCACACGCGCCAGTAGTATTGCTTTCGCTTTGGCCACATATTAAACATACAATACATCACATTCCACGGCTTTTACTTTTTTTTGTACTTTTTACAGCCAGGTCAAAAGGAATTCACAATTGCCCACATCAACAAAATCACTTGTACAACTACATACATACATATGCATATACTACATACATACACATATTAGTACTTATACACATACATATGTATGTACACATGTTTTTTGTGCAGAGGAGGAAACTTTCACATTTTGCATGGGAGTATAGTGGCTATTGCCTGTGGCTGTGCTTTTATAACCAAAATTTTCTTTCTCCCGCAGTAATAATCTTTATATTTTGGTATCTGCGACACTAAGGCGTATATTTTGTGTTATGCACTTTGGTATTTTTATTTACATACATACATACATATGTATGTAGAAGGTGTTATTCCGAGCTTAGGTATGTACCATATGTACATATATATATACATATATAACATCCACACATATATGTAAATGCAGCATGTGACCAAGCTTAAATTGAAACTACCACTATACTCGCCGCTTCGCCATTGCGAAAGATGCGCACAGAGACGGAGAGGCAGTGTCACGAAACGACGATGAACCGTCCTTGACTCATGTAAATTCCACTTCGCACAAACACTTCACAACTTTGTTCTCCTGGGCCAAAGCTAGTTGATCAGCCAAGCATACAGCTGCAAGAACAGCGCTCGGGGTGTGGCGGGGATTTTGACCAGCGCCAATATGCACCGAAAAGCTAACACAAACATTCCTGCACTTTGAATTATTTATTCATATTCACATTCGAACCGTTACGGGGCGCTTTACATTTTACGTCAGCCGTTTTCCGCTGCAAGTTTAGCTCGTTTCCGGATAACCGAAACATTTTGCTTTCCGTTCACAATTGAGACCCGTTGTTTAATACACACTGCACTCACCTCTGTGACAAGCTGCACGCACACTCATGCTTTAGCAAAAAATCCATAGATAATAATGATGGATACATATGCACATGTATATCGAAAGGAGCTAAGAACATACCCCGGAGCGTTCGACGCACTTGGAACAGAATTTCGTTGCAATATTATTCAATGTAAGTATGTATGTACTACATGTGTATGCTCATAGAAGACGTTCAGCACCCACATACCTATGTACTTGTATATGCACACTAAATCCAACAAACAACAAGGCTAATGGGTAGAGCAGCTACAACAAGCACCACACTATTTAGATATGAAGTAGTCTTCCGCCAGCACCGTGTTCGTAATATGAACCGTTCGAACGTCTTTACACTACGATTTCACAGAGAGAACTGCTAATAGGGATGAAAAAGTGCCGACTTTGAGGCGCACAGAATGGAAAAATCCTACACGCAAAAAGTGAGAATGTGCTTCCTATGAACGGGGATAGCTGGAGAACAGCTAGAGAGCGTACCCGCAAATGAGTTCATTCCAGTTGCATTCTGCGAAATCTAGCTGCTACGAATTTGTTGAATCTCTAATCCAGTGGGGACGATTGTGCAATGAGAGAGGAATTAATGTTCTCTCTTCTGGGACTTTACAGCTTTTCCATTGCGCATATGCGCGCAAATTTAGTCATTTCAGTGGGTTTTGTACTCCTAATTCGGAAATTTCCGTTTGGAATTGACTTGTTGTAGGTCGCTTCCAAAATTGTCATCCGAAAGTTCAATCAACGTCAATGCAATTTCTATACATGAATACATACATATAAGTAGTAATACATACATGTACTAAATGAATGAAGTTTTGTACTACGTATTATAGTGTTCGCTGTTTAAGAAGAGTCAACTATTCCAAGTACTAGATTTCCAAATGATTTTCACATAACCGAAGGATGCTCGTTGTATACTTTCCGTGCTAGAGGGCTTATGTCCATCCGTACCACTTGACCGTATCAACATGATGAGTGACTTATAAGTTGTGATTTTTGTACGACGAGGGGGCTCTAACCTAACTTCTCAGTCAGTTCGTTGACGGTGAGCTTTATCCTTTCAAACAATACCCTGGATGGTACCGTATAGCTACGGTGACCATCAATGCTTTATTTTAAAGGATAGTCCTTTTTCTCAAAGTGCTGTACTTTCACTTTATTTATTTTTCTAAAAACCTATTTTCCCTTTAAAGTACTTTTTAATACCATATCAGACATCAATGCATTTCAAATACTATAGCCCGGCAGATACAAGCTTTAAAGAATGAAGGGGAAGTGTCAGAATACACTGCGACAGAAGTCATAAGAAGGGACGCCTTTACGCTATCTATATATTGCCAGTGAACAGAGCCAGTTGATAAAATCAGCCCACCTGTGGTAACTAAGAATTATCGAAATCGGTTAATGTGGTCCAAAGGTATGCGGTAACATACATAAAAAAAAAACAAGTAAGAGCAGCGCTGTCTTTGGCTATGCCGAAAGCTTCATCCCCTTTCATGAACATCTGAAAATTTTACTTTAACAGATTACTGCATTTGAAAAAATTTTATATTTACAGCATACATAGATAGAGGAGATACATATGTGTATAAAAAAATATATCTAAACAATCAGATGTATGGAAGATATACCTTATCTAGCACCAATCTAAGTGATTTTCACTGCTGTATGATCAGTATGTAAACCGGTAACACAATTTAATGGGCTTAGCTTCCTACATAAGGGAGGTATATCGTAATAACTGGTATCTGAACAATCAGAGGTTTAAGAGATAAAGCTCATACAGCATAGATTTTGACAATTTTCTCAGTAGACTTTGTATTATTATTTATAGAATAGCTTGCGAAATATATCAGTTTTAGCAGTCCAAATAAAGGAGTTTTACAGTAAAACCCCATATCTGAACAATCAGTTGTATGGCGGATATAAATAGGTTATAGTGACCCGCTCTTTGTTAATTTTACTGTAAACTTTCTGTTGGTAATTAGTGAAAATATTGCGAAATTTCATGTTTCTAGCTGCATAAATGGAGGAGTTATAAAAAAGAATCTCTAATCTGAACAAACAGTTGTATGGAGGCTATAGGTTATAGCGACCCGATCTTCACCATTTTCACTGTAAGTATTTTTTTGATAACGGGTGGAAATATTGCGAAATTTCATGTTCCCAGCTGCATAAATGGAGGAGTTATCGCAAAAAATCTCTTATCTGAAGAATCAGTTGTATGGACGCTATAGGTTATAGCTACCCGATCTTCGGCATTTTCACTTAAAGTATTCTTATCATAATGAGTGACAACAGTGCCAAATTTAATGTTCCTAGCTACATAGATGGAGGAGTTATAACGACAAATCTTATATCCGAACAATCAGTTGTATGGGAGCTATATGTTATAGTAGTCCGATTCTTCCGGTTCCGACAAATGATTAATACATTATAAAAATACACCCACCTACCAAATTTCATCCGGATATCTCGAAAACTGAGAAACTAGATTGCATACAAACAGACGGACAAACAGACAGACAGACAGACGGACATGGCTAAATCGACTCAGCTCGACGATCTGAGGGCAGTAAGTGAACAGCTGAACAGTTGCCGTAGTGAAATTCGTCAGAGTAAACATAATTGCGGCGCACGACGGGTGCGTCAGTTGTTATTTTGATTTGAAAATGTTCACTAAAATCAGGGTACGAAAATAAACTATATTGTACGTTACTATTTCGTTTCGTTTATTACTTCAACAGTTCAGTATAAAACGAAAACAAAACAGCTGAGTTCACTTTGGCGATAGTACACTACAGTAGTTTAGTAGTTACAGACGAAACAACATGCGAAATGAATCGTGCAGAGAAAACTATATGTATGTATGTACACATATGCAATAACAAACACAAAACGAATGGCTGCAATGAAAAAAAAAAAAAATGTTTTTTATTTGAATTGGATATGAAAATTTACAGAAAAAAATATTTTTCACGTAATTGAAACGTTTGTGATATCATCCTATGGGACAATTGTCACAAACGAAAAGCAAACGTTTCTCGTTGGGGAAAATGACAGTGAATCTTACAATTTCTTTCTGAATATGTACAAAACTGTACAAAACCACAAATGATATGATGATCGATGAGCAAATGGGAATTGTTTTGTACAGTTTACTTTCGTACTCTGACTAAAATTAAATATTTTTTTCGGAACGTACATGTACATATGTAGATTTTCTGGAAAAAAAAATTAATGAAAACATTGGCAAACTTGTGAAAATAATAAAAATTACTGCAATCAACACTCAATCAAGATTGTGACGTCCCCGCAGGACGGTGAAATTATGGACCATTCCATATGCCTTAGTGAGTTTTAAATTTGACAGCGGTTAACCGTCGATCGCTTTACCGTTGTCCGCTACAATTCTGGCTAGAGCTTTAAACGAGTACAATGGGTGCAATCTAGACTGCGAAAAAGCTGGAGTATTTTAGTTAATCCAGATACGGTTTTATTATAGACCAGTACTCATTTTCATTGACCGATGGGGGTTACCGTTAGAGAAATTTCTTCCACCCCTATTGCGAGTGTCGACTAGTAGTAGATAAACGACTAGTTTTCGATTATAGTTTTTAGTCGCTCATCCGTCTTCAACTCTTTGTTTGTCGCCAATAATTCATTCACACTGACTTATTGAATGAGACAGCGACGTTCACAATATCATGGAAAAGCGATAATCGAATAATAGTCGTTTATCTACTACCAAACGACATTCGCAATAGGGATGTTCACCTACTAGATCGGCTGTAAACAATCGAGATTTTTTAATTTACTCCGTAGTGACTCTTTCTGCATTCTTGCGATCATTCCAAAATATTTTCAATATGCTGACCAGCGGCGATGAGATCTAGTCATTGTCTTCATTTGCAAAATGTCTGCTGTAGGTTCCAGCAACGTTGAATATTTGGCAATTGTCATTTAAGCAAAGATGAACATCCGCCTTGTTATAGCAGCACACAATTGATACGCAGACTTTCTGTGAAAAAGTTTCCCTTAATTTGCAACTTTTCTAAATCTTCTACAACTTCAGGAAAATTTTCTGATAGCCTTATATTTTTCCGACCATCTTGTTTCACACAAACGTGGTATATTAGACGCATAATTCTTGCGTATCGTTAATTCGCGAAGAAAAGGTTTATCACATCTTTCCGTTCATCACAGAATGGTCGGAGAAACTCAAATGGGGTTTTAATTCATTTCTGTACAAATTCAATGCTTAATTATGTGCTTACTTCATTGTATCAACGATGAAAAACGCAGGCTTATGTGCAAAGTACCTATCATCGTACAGTTTCATAAGTAAAGTAACTCTTCTTCTTACCGTTTTTCCTGGCTGGCTGTAGGTGTGTATTTGGCAGGCTGTAGGTGTGTTTTTGGTTAGTTTATTGTTGTTTTTGGTTCAATGTTTTAGTGTATTTTAAATAAATAGAAATGGAAGAAATTGTAATAGAAATGGAAGAAATTGTAAAAGATAAGAGCAAATGCCAAAAAACAGATGATCTCAACTGTAGGCATTTTATGGCAATCAGCTGATAGTGTTTTTACTTAAGAAACTGTACGATGGTACCTATGTTCGATTACGCATACAATTTTTTATTTTTTATTTCTTAATTTTTAAAAAATTCTCCTTCGTTATGTAGCTGTAGGTGGGGCATTTACCGCCGCCTGCCCCTACCTGGCTACACCCTTGCTAATAGTAGTATCATGAAACATTTTTCCTCGAGTCTACTCTTTTCTTTCGTATTTATTCACCTCTCGACTATCCCACTCGCAAAAATAAGATGGGTACTTAGTATATCCTCCTTGCATTCCCATTAAAGTAGATAAAACCTTTAAATCACTGCCCACTTGCCATTTATTTGTCCCATATCCAATGTTTCTAAGTATTTGTTCCATTACAGTGTAGGACTCCTTCATATCAGTAGCGTATGCTAGCGGAACCTACGGAAATATGTGTATATTTAGAAGAATATTTAGATAAAATCATTTGATAAGTCTTCATAAATATAAAACTTTTCATTCTTTACTTTTGTTTGAGCCATCAATAAAAAGTCTCCACTCCTCTGGTACTAGGGATGTTAATACTTTCGATTTTTAGGATCCCGGGATTTTCGGGATGTCGTTGGTTCAATCCTGGGATCCCGGGATCAATCCCGGTATTTAGATATTTATTATTTTTCAACAACTTAAATCGAAAAAATTTCATCAATATGGTTTGAGAAGCTCTACCACCATGAAATAAATAATAAATAAATGGGCTTGGAACGTACTTGTTTATTTAAAGTGAAAATTATTTGATAAGTAATAGAGCGAAAGACAGTAAATAAATCTATATGCTTTCAATAATGCTTTAGCATATACATATATGATAAAGTAACTTAAGGTATGTCGAAAAAAGCTAGATGCAAAAAAACTTAAGTCAAACATTTATTTTCTGGTTCAATGAAGTTCATAATACTAGTGGCGGAAATAAAAGAAGCGCTTTATTTCGACCAGTTTTATCTATATTCCTTTTGTTTACTAATTATTTTATTTTATTTTTGTATAAAAGTCTACCTCATATTACATATAATTAAATGCATATAAATGCGCATTTCTCTGATGTCATGATTTTTTTTAAACGACTTTATAATTTCAAAGATAAGATTAATTCCAAAACTTATTTAAAAAATGCAGTGCACTGTACATCAAAAAATGGGTACCAAATTAAGAAAAATTCTGTAGAATTTTTTGAGTTCACAAGGACGAATAGGAATGCCCCTTTAATCTATTTTATTTTTTAAGCTAATAAAGATAGTCCTTAACATATAATTTTTTTAAAAATAAGAATAGCAGAATTTCAAAGATATTCAAGGATAAAATTATAAAACGCCATTTTCAATACCTACTCGTCACTTACGCACCCAAAAATGTAATGTGCTTTAACTTTACAGAATCTTCTCTTTATTTTGATACCCATACTGGTTTTTAAAACTGGCCAACATAAAACGTTTCTATTATTATTGCCACCAGGGATTTTAGGCAAATAATACCGGGATTTTCGGGGCTTAAAAAAGATCGGGATCCCGGGATTAACATTCCTATCTGGTACATAATTGTAACCCAAGAGACCGAACAGTTGCGGTATATCTGCGCAATAAGCGAGGTGTGATTATCTTTGTCCATTTTGAAAACCTGCTTGCCTGCTTGTAGTTTTTCCGGTCTTCGTTACATTTAGGAGTAATATTAAAATTATTGGAAGGGATTTAAAAGCATTGGAAGGGATACGAAGCCACTGGATGGCATAGGAAGTTATTGGGGGGGGATAGGAAGGCATTGGAAGGGATACGAAGACATTCGAAGGGATTGGAAGGAATAGGAAGGCATTGGAAGGGATAGGCAGGCATTGGGCGGGACAGGATGGCATTGGAAGGGACAGGAAGGTACTGGAAGGGATAGGAAGGCATTTGAAGGGATAGGAAGCCATTGGAAGGGACAGGAAGGTACTGGAAGGGATAGGAACGCAGAGGAAGGGATACGAAGGCATTGGAAGGGATACGAAGCCAGTGGATGGCATAGTAAGTTATTGGGGGGATAGGAACTCATTGGAAAGGATACGAAGGCATTGGAAGGGATATGATGGCAGTGGAAGGTATAGATAGGCATTGGAAGGTATAGGAGCGCATTGGAAGGGATACAAAGGCTTTGGAAGGGATAGAAAGGCATTGGAAGGGATAGAAAGGCATTGGAAGGGATAGGAACGCATTCAATGCTTAACGCTGTGCTTACTTCATTGTATCAGCGATGAAAACGCAGGCTTATGTGGAAAGTTCCGAATTCGATGACGCATACATTTGTGTATTTTTTACCTCTTAGTTTTTGAAAATTGTCCTTCGCTATGTAGCTGTAGGGAGCCATTATAGAATGGACACAAAGCGCCTCAGCCCTGACGCAGAGCCCAGTGGCGGTAGCAGAGAAAAAAGAAAAGCTCTCATGCGCGATAGAAAGACCACTTGAAGGAGGATTTGGCTTCATTTGGTATTTGGTTATGCAATTACGGCAACCGACAAAAAGAAGGTGTTAACTTTTCGCATGTTGAAACTTCAAACTCAACGCAAAACCAGATGGCAATGCAGTATAAAAGATAAATTATGAGCAGGGTTGCCACTTTGGTAAATTTTTACCACAATTGGTAGAAAAAAATTGGGTTGGTAAAAAGGTAATTTTTTTGTCTAATTTTGGTAGATTTTTGTTGAACTTTTCGTTACCGATTTATCTTTCGTAGTTATCTTTATATTATAAACTAGCAAATGCCTGGCTTTCTTCGCAATGGCTTATAAGAACTTTTGCGTTGACCAATGCTGAAATAGTATTGTTTAGGTTGAAAGGACTGAAGAGCAGAGACTTGCTATGAGTTTTTATTTCCACCTATGAGATATCTGCAAGTATTTAAAGATTGGCCGAGAGTGCGTAATCTTCTCCTATAATCCTGCTGTTCCACAGGATGGGAGACTTTTCCCGCTCAAACGGGATCATTTATACTCCTACCATGTTATTTCTAATTCAGCACACTTCTTCTTGAAATACCCAGGACCCGTTGATGTGCCTAGGATATCTCTATAGCTTAATCAATTTTGCACTTCTCTGTATGCTTACTAATAGAATGGTGCTTTATTAAGTCATCTAAAATATAAATTTGTAGAGGGGCATCTGAATATCGTGATTTCAGCGCCATCTATGGTTTGGGTCCATTTATTTTGGAAAAACACTTCTTATCATAAAGTTAATACCCGTTAAGCCATGTCATACGATAAAGACTGGTTCTCGAAATATCTCGACTCCGGCGTCATCTGTCGGCCCATGTTTTGCAAATGTATATTTTACGATTCAGAGGAGAATTACAAATTCATGTGACATATATGATTCCGAAGTTATGGATGATTAAAAATTTCACTCCTATAGGATGTGCCACGCCCCTTTTACAAAAGTATATGTACTTTACTATAAGCATCTACCATATATACATATATATGTCAACACACCAAATTTCAAATTGTGAGTTACGGCTTCGAAGTTATAGCTGATTAAAAGTGTCACGCCTATGGAAGGTGCCACGCCCCTTGTCAGATCTAATTTTTGTATACCCTAGGTTACGTCCGAGGTCACTCTCTATATACCAGTTAATGCCCCATAAAAATCCATTCAGTAGTTCCGGAGATTAGTGAGTTCAAACAGACAAACAATCTACAGTTTTATTATATTTAGTATAGATTCTTTGCATACTTTTTATATACTTACATACGTATAAATGTATATCGATATAAGGCGAACATATCATGCTCCATTCAAAACTCATTTTACTGGAATCCCGAGGAGCCTAAAAAAATGACAGATATGTAATGACGCACTATAATTGTTCGAAAAAAAAATTAAATCAACGCCATTTTTTATCAATAGAAATTGTTAAATAAAAAAACACAAAAGACTGGTGGCAAAAAATTAAAAAAAAAAATCAACGGGAACCACATTGTGAGCTATACTCAAGTATTATTTGCTTTAAAACTCGGTATCTCAAATTGTTCTAAAAATTCAGAGTAAAAAATTCGAAATTGGACGAAAATTTTTTGAATTTTTCTAAATGTTGTATATAGTTTGAATCCTTAATTTTTATGGGTTTAGTTAAAGCAACAAACAATTTTTACTTGAAAAACATTGCGAATAATAAAAAAAATCACCAAGTGCTTTTTTAAGTCACTGTATTTGTGTATAATAACTCTAGTTGAAGTTTTTCAAATTATGAAGTTTCGGTGTTGCCTTTAGTTTCATCACTTCGGCTTTGAAGGAAACTGCGAATATGCCAATAATATGACTCAAATTCCGTATTATTAGTTAAATAATAAGTTCATTAAAAACAATTTTTATGCTTATTGAAATAACTAAAAAAAATAATAAAAAAAATAACAAAACCATAGTTTTTATTAAAATAACTATAAATAATTTATTTGTAGATGTTTTCCAGACTTGGTAAATTTTTCTCAAGTGGATGGTAAATATTTTTTTTCGTCAGTGGCAACCCTGATTATGACCCTATTATGTATTGCGGCTTTTGTCTAATTGCTGGTCTAGTAGCCATGGCTACCAGTTAAGCACTTTTTCCTATGAATAGCGAATAATCTCGGTATATAGAAAAGCGCAGACAACATAAGGGTTTACTCTTTTTGACATGTACATTTCGAAGCAAATAACAAAATCGTCATAGGCAGTAAACAGAAAATTCCGCTACCAGACTAAAGGTCTGATTATGCATACTTCGCATCAGTGCAATTGAAATGTGACTCAAGTAAATGTTAAGCAAAATCTAAACTCAACAGATCGCTAAGTTTTTACAAGTTCTGCTAATTACTGCGTAATGGAATACACATAAAATACATTAAAAGTACATACAAAATTACAGTTTGAAATTTATGCGAAGTTGTGCGAAGTTATACTAAGTATACATTATCAGACCATTAATAGCCAACAGTCAGTAGCGAGTAGCAGCTATACGTAATGCGTATATGGTTGCCCATCGGCTACCAGTCGCCATACATAATAGGGCCATTAATCTGCTAGGTGGTGCAGGTGTCGAAAACCCCATGTTTATGGTCCGCTATGGTTCATATTTAGAACGTGGATGTTGGCATGAACAACTGGCCCAAATCCGCAAAGGAGAGAGGCAACTGGCGAAGCTTTTTGGTTTTGGTCCAAACCGACAAACGGTTGTACTGCCAAACAGGAAGAATAAGTATTACTTTTATGGAAAAAATGATTTCACAAAAAAAGTAGCCGTTAGGTGCTGCGGGGTCTATTTTTTTAATAATTACTAATAAAAGCTTGACTATTTTTTTTTTTAATTACTTGTTATCACTTTGTTTCAAATAATTATGTGACTAGATTTGGTAATAGTTTCTAGGACATTTTTTCTGCGAACCGAACTAAGAAACTAAACTGTTTGGTTAATGAGCTAATATTTATCATTATTAAAATTAACGTCAGGCTATGGATCATATTCGACACGTTTGTTTAAAAGCAAAACTAAAAGACAACCACAGCAGTTTTGTGGGTGACTGTCGACTGATGAAACCAGGTGACCAAAATGCAAAGAAGAAAATTTTAAGCAACTGTCAAAGATGGTCCACAGTTTGACACTCACATAAAACTAAATAATTTTTTTCGTATGATTGTTTTTTCCATGAATTTACCATCGGAAAAAATTTAATCGTGTTTTTTAGACATTGATTATATTGTTAATTAGCATTTGTACATAATTTTAATTTTTGTCAAATCTCCTTCCGAGGGTCCCAGAATTTGTCCCATTTTTCGATCTATCACTGTATTACCAATCCTTGCACGCATTGAGGGTTTAGCCTGATCCTTAGCGAAAGCAAACTGTGAATAGTGCATAAGACTTTCATAGTCATACTTGACGTTGTAGGTCGTGGTATATATTTCAGGATAGGCTATAAACTGTGGCCAGTACTTTTGAGGAATATTTGCATATTCGATTTGCACATACTTGTTACGATCGGGGCGACTCTGTTCGTGATAGAGACCGAGCACATGCAATGTCTCGTGCTGTATTACGCCGCGTTCGCTTAAGCAATATGAATTAAGCACCACATCGTGTGGCCCTGTCGGTGTTAATGGATTAAACCCAACGCGTGTACCACACATATCCGGGGATTTCTTGTAGTTTATGTACCGTATGTTTCCATCTCGAATTTCGTCATATTCATTAAACTTTAAGCAGGTAGTATCATTGAACACCCGTAGTGCTGCATGAACATTATCCGCTTCGTCCTTGCTGTAATCAGATGAGATTTTGTAGCGCAGTAATTTGCTGGGCCAGCGTTGTAAAGGCGAATTCACTGCATTACGAGTTTTGTCTTCTGCCTCTTCATCTTCGACGTCGATTTCATTAAAATAATTCTCAAAGTTTTCTACGCCAGGAGCCGTTTCTTTCGTATGAACAAAATTTAACAAAATTAGCATGCTAACCAAAATAAAACCTCTGCGGCGACACATTATGTTAAATGTCTTCAATTTTCGAAACTTACCTTTCAATATGGGACCCTTTTATATGCCTTTTCAACTTCATTAGAATGCTACTTTAATCACAAGACCGGATTCCAATGCTAATTGCAAGCGATAGATCGTATCGCTCACGTTCTTCAAAAGCGTATTAATTTAAAATATACTATTTTTGATATACTGTGCCACAAATGTTCACAGTTCTTTTATTTATCATCTTGCCCTTACCCTGAAGCAATAGTTTGTTGTAGTTGAATGCTAAAACGACCATTAAGAACCCTCATACGCATATGGTTAAGATGGGAGCAGAAATAGTGTATGCGTTTTCGGACACACGAAGAATTTTGAGTTAATGCATTTTTGAGGAACGTGTGCTCAACACATTTTATGTATAGACATATTCGAATTTATGTAGAAACAACAGGTTGGCACCCATATTTAAGAAAGTGTTAGGCCAAACGTTTTCTTTATATTGTAGAATGCGCCCTCGTTATTTACTGCTTTGGTGGGAGATTATATGTATGTACATTCGAGAGAGTCTCAATTATATTTTTGAGCCAAGTGCTCACACACAGTAGAAATATCATGAAACCCAGTGGGAATTAGGAGCACGTAATAATGCCTTATTAGCAACTTACTCTTCACCTGGCAGTCATTACCATTTCCCTGCCGAACGTCCCTTACTTTTACAAAGGCATGGCCGCCTTATGTAAGTAGGAATTTAGAATGTACATTTGGTATCAGACATACTTCTGAGCCGCTTTACAAAGTAAGTTACGTGTAATGCAGAGCAGTCGCTCGGAGTAGTTCGGTGCTTGGAAATAACTTCGGCTGCACGTTATTTTGCAACTGACAACGTAATGTGTCTTCGGAGGTGTTCATTTTGCCCTTTACTAGTAGATGACTTTGGCCATGATGACAATTTTGGTACTAAAAACTGAAAGAAAACATGGCTTACCTCGCAAGGTGCTTACCTATTTTCCCAGTGGGAAATTCTGCGGATCATATACACATATGTACATTCGTATGTGTGTATGTATATACAGTGTTGGAAAAAATAATAGAAACAACTTACTGAAAAATATTAAATCAATTATATCAACACTAGTTATATATATTTTTTGGAATGCGCACCCTGTACAAATATCAGTTAAAGCTTGTTCTTTTGCAAAACATTATATTCCGCTAGTTTGTATCCTTTTCACTTTATGTGCGAGAGAGTAAACAATTGAATTGTTGCGCTTGGAAAAAATAATAGAAACAAAACGTGTTTGTTAATATTGGTGCTTTACAAAAGGTAAATTAATTATTTTTGGCACTTCTAATTGCGTTTTTAAAGAATGCTAACTAAAGTAGAGTTATACTATAGGTTATTGAAACATAAAAAATAATAAAATGGGCCGAGCTAAACACTGCACGGAAGAGGAGAAGAATTTAATAATAAGTTTAAGAAAACAAGGAAATTCGATGGGTAAGATAGTAGATATGGTGGGCTGTTCCAAAACGAAGGTGTTCCTGCCCTTCATAGCGTAAAAAACCAGAAACACGACGTACAAAGCGTAAAATGACTGCTAGCGATCAAAGGCGTTTAATTCGGCATTACAAAGTTAACCCTTTTCTGTCTTCAAGAAAGCAGAAAACAGAATTGAATGTCGATGTAACAAACCGAGCCATGACGTACAGATTGGCAGAAGCCAAACTTTCAGCCAGAATCTCTAGAAAGGTACGGTTGCTGAGCCTTAAAAACAAAAACAACAGACTTGGTTTTGCCAGAAAACATCTTTTTCGTCAAAATGGTGAAAAATGTGCTGCAGTCTGATGAGACAAAGAGTAATATGTTTGGATCAGATGGAAAATAGTACGTAAAACGTCCTACGAACACAGCCTTTGATCCACAACACACGAAAAAAAAACGTTTAAGCACAGCGGGAGTTCCATTATGGTATAGGGCTGCTTCCCGAAGGAAGAAGTTGGTCCAATACTTTGGATTAAGAACAAAATGTGGGAGCTTGACTATGTAAACATATTACAGATGATAAGGCTTTCCTATGCTAAAGAGGAAATGCCATTGCAAGATAATGATCCAAAACATGCATCAAAACTGGTAAAGTAGTGGTTAAAGAAGGAAACAGTGCAGGCTATGGAGTGGCCGCCACAATAGCCAGACCTCAACCCTATTGCGCACCTTTGGGCGGACTTAAAGAAGAGAATCGAGCCTTTTAAAGCCAGCAATAAAGACGAATTGTGGCGCCACATTCTAAAATCGTGGTATTCCATTCCAAAAACTTCGTCAATTCGCGGCACCGAATATGAGAAGAGGTAATCAGGCAATGCGGCGATTCAATAAGCTATTAAAACAATAATATTTTTGTAAGAATTTTTTGTTCAAAGCATAGTTTATTTAGAAATAATACTTTGTTTCTATTATATCTTCCAGGCCAAAATTAAAAAAGGGGCCACAATTTATTTATGGCTTATTGCCCTTGCAACAGAAGTCTAGATTTTAATTAACGTAAACGAAATATACGAAATCGGAATGTGTTTAAAATTAAAGAGTTCTTCAGACAATAAAAAATATATGAAAGCTTTATGTTTCTATAATTTTTTCCAACACTGTACATATTGTCGTTTAAAGTACAAAACTGCGTATCGTCATACTGCAAAACCGCGTAACTGACATTGGCTGCCAAAAATTGGATTTGCTCACACAAGCTCTTGGCTCAATCCTTATCCATTCGTCCTGAAATATACTAGCCAGAAATGCGATTGAATTATAAAAAAGATACGGTTGCCAGACGTACTGATTTTATCAGTACAGTACTGATTTTTCAACTCTTGTACTGATTTTATTCATTTCTTCAATCAGTACGCTAATGTCCTGATTTTTCAAAATTTGTACTGATTTGTACTGAATTTTCTATTCAAACAAAATACATACTTTAGTATTTTCTTAAGGTTCTTACATAACGTGGGAAATTCCTTACACTGTATTGTAAAAAGTAAGAAGAAAATAATTTAATTATAGTTGACATATTTTAGATAATGTTTGATATGCCCAAGAAATTAATACAACAAAAAGATCAATCGTTTTATGGGCATATCGCCGGGTCATTACCTACCAGTTGCGATAATATGATGAAGCTTAAACTATTTAAAAAGAAGGCTTAAATTTTAGTCGAGTGTTTGCATTTTGTTGATACGCGGTTTTGCGGACGAAATCCGCATCTTGATTGGAATCCCTTAAAAATGCCGATTTCAAAAAACTTAATGTTTTCTTATTTTGGGAAGGTTGTTATTATACATCGTCTTTTTATGCCAATAATATTCCGCAATTATTCAAAAAATTCACTAGGGTTAAAAATTGGTAAGTTAAAGTTGTTTGGATGGTGTTCAATTTCTGTTTGAATTAGGGCTTTCCGATTTCTGCTCGCACATTCTCGAGCATTTCGATACCTGGGAAATCGAGTTCTCGGCACAATCTCGGGTATCGCCATTCTCACGATTCTCACCTTGTAATCTTTTTATCATGGTTCGATGTACATAAGTGTATTATTTGAGATTGAGGGCTCCAGCAAAGAAAGTGAGTAAAAGTAATAAATGAAGAGGAAACGTGCAATCTGGTATGGTTGGACAATACAGACCTCACTGGAAAGGACCATGCACATGCTTGATATTCTGGAGAGCGACGAGTATTGCGCTTGAAAGAAATTCAACAGTTCCGGGTTTAAATACCCTAATTTAAATACGCTTCGATACACGAGAATTTCGTGAAAAAGCGATCCTCGCGAGAAATTGCCTCTCGAACAATCTCGGGAAATCGAAGGCTCTAGTAAAAACTAGTACAATAATAAAAACATTTTTATTTTTGTAACTTCACAGTTTTTGTATGTATGCAGTGTTGGCAAAATGCTAATCTGATTAACGATTAAAAATTAACGATTAAAATGTTAATCGCGATTAACGATTAAAATTAATTAATCGTAATCATCTGTATGATTAATGATTAAATTTTTGCCAAATTTGAGCCAATTTTTCGTATTGCCGTATTGCCGCTCGCGAAAACACAGAAATCGAGAATTCATTTATGATGACTTTTGCAATCATTCACAGTATATTTTACTTAATTTTTTATAAAATTTTATTATTTCAACCAGTGATTCCCAAAGTGGTCCAGGCGGACTCCCAGGGGTCCACGGGAGACTCGACGGGCGTCTACGTTGGCGTGAACAAATATGGGGCCCCATGAGTTGTAAGTGGGGGTCCACGAAAATTTATCTGGTTTCGAAAGTAAACAACCAAAATAGTTGCTTGATAGCCTCTTTATTTAACTTAAAATTTTTGAGTGGTGTATAGTGCTCTTGACGCATTGCTGCACTTACCGTCGCTTCAGAACCGGATGTTGGTATAACACTGAGTGTGGCGCGGCGGAAATTTCTGGCGGCAGAGATTTAAACACTTGTGTAGTTCCAATGCTACAGGATTGTACGCCACCATTAGATTTGTTGAAAAGATTCTATACTGTTGAGTTCCTTGAGACTGAATGCAGGTTTAACTTCAGCACATCGTATTTGATATTTTATTACAAATACATACATTGTTAATCAGTGATTTTTTCTGATTACATTGCTTTTAAATTACTTTACTCTTAAATTAACTCCGGAATGTTTTTACTCTTCACTTATTTCTTACTAAATAAACCCCATATTTTTCTTTTGCCTGATCCCCATTTGATATAAATATTTCCGTTACCTTATTCCCTTAATTAAAGTGAACTTAATTTTTTAAACATGTGGCAACCCTTCTACGTGTCGTTCAAAATCATTTCAATTGATACCCATATGGTAATATCTAATTTTATTAAAATTTGAAACAGGTGGCAACCTTTTCCAACAAAAAAATAAAACTTTATTGCACATCTGCAGGCCAAGCCCTGTCATTTGACACTTCACTTTTGAAAAAAGAACGAACTATATGTACATACCTATGTAATTGCCACAAGAACCCAAAATGTCAACTTCAAACTGCATTTACAGTGAAAGTATGAAAGTTATCCAAAAGCAAATTGCATTTTTGAATTTAGCGTCCTCAATTTTACTAAGAATCGAATTTTGATTTAAATCCGTCCATAATTCTATTT